CGAGCTCGCGCTCTTTGCGAAGCAGTATGATTTTGTACATGTCACATCAAGCCCTCACTACCCCCAGTCCAATAGACTGGCCAAGAAAGGAGTCCAAATAGTCAATCGTATCCTAAATAAGTGCGCCGTCTTGAAGGGAAACTTCTGGTTAGGTCTGTTGGCATATCGCTCATTGCCCTTGAAAGATAGACGGTTACCGACTGAGTTAGTGCAATGAAGAAGCCTCAGAAGCAACATTCCTGATTTTATCGAAGTTGCCGAAACGGAGATGAGAATGTACCCACAATAAAATAAAGGACGACAGGCCTCACCTTTAACACATAGGACCATAGTTAGAATACAGGACAATGTGCGGTCGTGAAAAGACAGGGTGATTAACACAGCTGCCCTGAGCTCTTACATTGTGCAACCGGGGCACCACCCCGTTTGCACAATGTAAGACGGCATACTCAGACGAAATCGATGTCACCTACTTCGAACAGGAGAACTACAGTGCCGAGCCAGGAGACGATGAATATAGCAGACCTCTAGGCCCTTTCGACCAGATGTGACTGCATGCAGAGGAACTACTGACTCGTCTGATGGCAGTGATGAAGCACCTGCCAGCGGTTCTTCAGATCCAGCACAACAGCTTTTCATGCTACCTCGCCGGGACCAATTCACAGGCATTCCAGCACACAGCTCCGAGAAGGTCAAAACGCTTTGTCAAGCCACCTCAGCACCTTGCATACGATGCAAACTTTCAGAAGATTGTGTAAAGTCATTTGTGTCAATCTTTTCTACCAGTGGAAGGATGTATCGAGCAAGTGCTATTCACCTAAAGCCAATACGGCTCACACACGTGCAGTGTACTGACGCAATGCTATAAATAGAACGCATGCATTAAAAACCTCGTTCATTCTCGTTCTGCACCCTGCTGTTGCCTCAGTCATTTGCAAGTGTGTTCCACCTTTCTTTACAGAACTTCGATGTTACTGCAGTATAATCACAAGGGGCACACAATTTTGTCAAGTTTGCCAGCCTAGTGCACTTTTTGAACAAAACACGCACACTGGTTTGCACAAAGGTGTGTTGAGAACCACTATGTCGGCAAATTAACTGATTCTGAAAGTTAAGTGGCTGGACTAACTACGAAAATGTGCTGGGTGCACGAGAAACAAATTTAACATGCTAAAATTGACGATCCAAAACGTCGATCACCGGTAATCGATTTGAATAGGCATGGTAACGAAAGAGTTCACTCTTTGTGGTGGCTGTGCTGAGTTAGCTGCAATACCCACTCTTTTCTCGAAGGTAGAGTAAAACAGACTACAGTAAAGTGCCAGTGAGTGAGACCGGTGATTTTGCTGAAAGCGTCTCATCGATGCCCATCACTTCTGGCGCAGGCAGACTCACAAGCCACATTCAGGTTAAGTAATGCCAATGTTCTAGAGTATGCAGTCATTTTACCTACTACATGCCTGCCAAGTTCAAGGATTCTGAATCCGGGAGATTTCCGCAACGGGGGGACACTAAAATCCCAAGGACATTCGCAGAATATCCACGAGGTGAATGATGATGAGTGGGCAAAGCTCAGGAGAGAATCATGGGTAAATCGTGAATCTTCCATGTAATTTGCCCAGTCGATAATCATTTAAAGACGTGAGAAACGCTGTGTGCATATGCCATGCCGCTTGGGCCTCCCGCTCTTGTACGGCAGAATCTTGGTGGTGGCATCGCGCAGCTTCACGGCGTGCTTCTGCCTCGCGGGCTCGCACATAAAGATTCTGTCTGAGCGCGCGCGCTGCCGCTTTGCGCACTCGCCGCTCTGCAGCCTTGTCCATCCAGTGACTCCGAGTACGCACCAACAGTGAATAAATTTTATTACAAAGCTCCCTCTATCGTCTGTCGCCGCACTAAACTGAACGATTGCCTGCCACCAATGACACGTGCCATATGTGGCATCATTCCTAGTATAACATCTCGCATCTTTCATCATCAACTCCAAGTACCGCTATCTAGTTTTGTATTATCTCGCATCTTTTCATCAACTACAGGTACCGCCATCTAGTGAACACTGCACGAGCTAAACTAGAGGTGGCTACCAAACTACTACTACTACAACTACATAAATCGGAGGATGTACAGACCCACGCGTTAAGGAGCTTCGCCCCTTAAAATATCGCGAAAAAACAAAAGGGTGTAGGAGGGAGGTTACAATCGCAAGCGCCTACATCAGCGTTGCGGTCTTATAGTGACTAGGAGTGGCCGAACACTCAAGGGTAGGGTTTTTCATTAAGTTGAGAGTCTCAAAGGATCAACACAATTAGCAGAATCTATTTCGACCAAAACAACTCGTGTGTGTCCTCTTGGGACACACGTGAACGGACAGGATGGCGCAGTTGGCTGCCGCAAAAGAGTAGGTCATAGCTTTGCTCACTACTAGATTCTTTCGACAGGAACGCCAAAACACGTCTGGGCCCTTTTTATTGCGATAGCAATTATATCGACAGTCTAGGTTGTTTTTTTTTTTTTGCTGTCGCCACCACCGTCATCCTTTACCAAATATGTATGTATACGTGTCAATATATATGAACACTCAAGAAGAAAATAAAGCCACCCAGGCTCGACGCCCACCTCCTCACGATGCACCGACAGGCGCTTATCTCTAGCGTGTACTTCGCCCCATAAAAGGGGGGGGGGAGGGAGTATATGTTTGTGCACGCGCGCTTATTTTTTGATGAGGAGAATCGTGTGCCTGAATCGTGTGGAGAATCGATGAGAAGAATCATGCGGCTTTCACTGAAGCAATTGCGTTAGGTGCCGGGCCCAAAAAGGTCACTTCGGTATGTGCACAGGCCCCTTTAGCGAAAACAGCGCACTTTTCATGCACTGCGAGTCATAACAACTGGGACACTTGTTAGTTCGTTTTCATCTGTACCTGTGATTACGTATTGTGCGTCGTTTTTGTTTAAACAGCACGTTACATGTCAAGAAGCAAAGGTTGGTAGTTTGCCCTTGTCCGGTGAGTATCGTTTTCGTGTGTCATTTGTGTGTGAGCAGGGCACTGCACGTTTCGATCTGCTTGCCGTTCTCAGCGTCACATTCCAAGTTGTTGCTGATGCATTCATTGCTTCTCCCTCGCAGCGAAATTGTAATCTTTCAAAATTTTTTACGTATTTAGTCCCTTTAACCTACCGCTACGTGCCCTCGGAGCTCGTAGATTGCTATCGCGGCACTGCGACTGTGGTTTAGTGCGCGGCGGTTGCGGCAAACGGTAGTTTATTTCACAATCCCGGTGTACTTGGCTGCCCACGCCCCTTCAAAGCTAAGTCGTTTTATGCCATCTACGATAGCATCTGCCACAGTTTTGTCCTCAGAGTTTGCAGAAAGCAGCATTGCTATGATTGATTGAGCACACACTTTTGGGGTTCTGTCAGCAATGCCGTCGCCACACATGGTTGTGTCAAGAGTGACAGTGCGTGCGCTGGTCGTACGCATATTTCCGAAGCTTCGAGTACATTGCTATCTGCCTTTGTTCAAAGGTTTCCGTACTAAAGTTCGTATCATCCACCGTGATTAGGAAATGTGTTCGGAATATTCGAATTGAGGCCCTATGAACATAGAGGAATTTGGCTGGGGAATTTCAATAATTCGTATCTGCCACGGTTTCGCATCACTGAGATTATGCTGTATGTTTAGATGAACGCGTCTTAAACTCATTTATAATAAAATGGGATAGGTTCGAAAAGCCTGGAGCAGATTGAGCTGTTTTTTGTCAATGTGGCCAGATCACGCACAGAAATTTCGATTTCTGGGAGATTTTCATCACAACCGTACAAACGGAAGAAAAGGTCGAAATCCGGGAGACTTGGCAGGTATGCTACCAGGCATAGCACATAATTCAACCCAGAAGCACTGAACAGCGAAATGCCAACTTATCCAGGCTCGTGGCAATGCTGCACAAAACTTCACCTGCACCTCTACACAGCAGGCAGCAGCCCAGTTAGCGTTACTCAGTCAGGTTAGCAAAGGCGTGCGCTTGTGTGGAACCCGTGAAAACTATGCGTGGAAAACACACAACCTCTCCCATCGAAACTGCCAACAACTCGCATAGAAACCACTCGCAGCCGCAGAGTTGGAGGAGAAATATGCATAGCTGATGAACTCCTGACTCGATGGGAGTGCACCCTTGTCCACCACATCAGTTGGGCCTCCATATTTGTAATGTATCGTCAACCCCACTTTGGTGGAACCAAGTCACGTAAGTACTAAGCACAATTTGCCCACTGCCCGTTTTTACAAGGAAACGAGAAAACACCGCTGAGCAGTGAACCTCTAGCACTTCACCAACAATTTCATTTTACAAAGAAACGTGTTCACATTCCTGTTTCATAAGAATACGCACAGAAATCCTTTGAAACTTTTTTCAGCAATCCTGGTTTAAAGCATTCGAAAAAATGTTTGAAGTCGAAACACGCACGAAATTTTGCTATTTTCAAACCTTTATACTCTACATATCAAGCGCAACGTTGTGGAGACTAGAAAGACTTGCAGCAGACGTGTTCGTATCGAGAAATATTTCAATGCTATTGGCCAGAACTTTTTTTAATTCATATTTAGAGTGAGTACTATTTGCAAGACACGTCTTGCACATTCCAAGTGCACACACATTGTTTTGTTATCGCTCAGTATCTACTTGGTCTCATTTCTTCGTATTTCACCTGTAGTCCATCACGATAAGTCTCGCTCAGACTCGTGTTTGGCTCGTACGAGTGTTTACGGTGACAAAAACTGACCACAAGACACGTGGAGTTTAAATTTCACTGACTAGCCTCCTTGCACAGCTTCCACATCTGTGCACCTGATGTGTAAAATAGAACGTAGTGGTATAGAGTTAAAAAATACATGGTGTTCCACAAACATTTGATTACTAAATACTTCACCAAGTTAATGATTCTGTCGTGGTCATTAAACAGTAGTAGCATTTGTACTTGCATGGCTCCAGAGAAATGAATATGTTGTAGCACAGCAATGGAGGCACTATTTTATTTTGACCCAACGAGAGTTACTTGCGTTCTTTCCATCTTGCACCTCTTGGCTGGTGAGCAGTCGGACAAGATCTTCAGTGCGAGGTCAAACGACGCCCTCATCATGTCCTTGTTTGGTGCCACATTGCGCACAAACGACACCTGCACGTCCCTCTCCAGTGGCTGCCCGAGTCCCTCCTCCACCTTCCGCTTGGCGCCAGTCACACCCTCCTCGCCCTTGACGAAGCAGTAACAGTGGACTTTCACGTAGCAGTTTTTTACCAGCTCATTCAAGTGTTCACTCCCCGACAAGAGCCCAACAAATGTGTCCAGGAATTCTGTTGCCAACGCTGGAAGGTTCATGCAAACATGCACGTGCCTGTTGTCTGCTAGGTGCTGTACGAGGCTCTCCCCTATCACCTTCTGGATAAACTCGCGGCCATCCATGTTGTAGGTGCTCACCCTGTCTGACACGTTGTTCAGGGTCACGTTGTGATTCAACCAGGCATACGAGTGTGGGTTCAGGTCATTTGCAAACACTGTGCAACCCTTGCGTGCCGCAGGGATAACAAATGGTCCGACACCAGCAAAGACATCGTACAAGACATCACCGTGATGCAGAAGGTCGATGACACGCGAGTGCTCGGTGGACAGCCGTGGGTTCCAGTAGACATTTGCAAAGTCAAACTCGAACCTGCACAGAGATAGCAAACCACACTGCAGCGCAGTTTTCGTGCACCCAACCAAAGCACATAAAAAGTATGGACCACCTTTAAAACTACTGGACATGAAAACACTTTTGCCACATATATCACCAGCGGTGGACCACTTGTGAGATTTATCTGACCCACAGATACTACCTAAGTGCTACACCTAGCAAGCCCTAGACAACTCCCCCTTATCCTGCGTCCTTTCACACAGTTGCTTTACTCAGCTGCACCAAAGTGAGCACATAAACATCGCAATTACAGAGAACAGATTTTTTTCGTAAATACATTTACTCTTGTTCAAGAGTAAGACGCTCCTCGAGTGCATTGACCCCAAACATCTGGTGGCCTAGATCATCGCTTAGATAGATTGCACAATAGTTTCGACAAGCAGGGTCGTCGTCTAACAGACGCAGGGTAACAGCTTGCGGTCTTGTCTCACATTACAGAAAAATGCTCAAGATGAAGAATAAAGGCCTTAACAACAAACGTGCAAGAGCACAAGAACGTAGCACCAAGAATGACACAGCTTGAAGACAGTGGCAGAAAGGGCAGGAGTAAAGGTGGTAATTACCAACGGTATCGGAATATTTTAGGTGATGATTCCGCAGCCGGTGCCGCATCCAGATTGTGTTCGTCACCTGTGCTGCTTTCTTTTGGCTGCAATAGATGGTGCTAACAGATGGTGCGCTCTAAAGCCCTTTAATCTGGAAAAGTAACGACACAAAAGCGTGGCAGTGGCACGCTTTTGGTAGAACCACATAACTGGCGCCGGGCTGAATTTGGAGGGCACTTTAAAGAATAGTTTTTGGTGGTATTCGCGTCGTTCGCTTTTCGTTTTCGACGCCTAGCGCGCATATTTTCACTACGTGCGCATGGTGTGGCCGTCGACAACGCTCAGCTTTGCTTTTTTTTTTATTGCCAATTATGTATATGGACAGTCTCGACTGGTTTTTTGCCGCAGCCGCCACAGTCATTCATCGTATAAGTATACGCATCTATATATATGAAAACTCAAGGGGGAAAAAATTGGCCCCGTATCTGCATGTAATCTTCAAATGCCATCGAAAGACGATAGTCTTGAGTGTGGAGAGAGTGAACAAAACAATTATTTGATGTTCTGCGCAAGAAAATCGGTGAATGGTACTCCAGAGGTGCTGCGTTAGAGTGCCTCGAGCGTGCAACGGAGGTGAACGAGCGCATTGAGGCACGTTAGCCACGAGCGCCATCTGGCAGTTATTTCCGAAAACGAAGGAAGGCCTGCGTGCCTGCGGAGAAAGATGCGTGCATTCTTGGAGGCGATAAGGTGTAGAACGCAAAGCGACCACCGTGTCGTTTTAGCAAAGCGTTGGTGAAGCCTGCCTTTTTGAGCCTTGCGTCACACTGTCAGCGCAGCGTGTTTACCGCTATGCTCCTTAGATTTACTTGTGTGTGCATTCTCTAGTATAAAGGCACACATACAAAACATCGACATGTTATTATCGTACCTCAGATATGCGCAATGATTGCTTTTTAATTGACAATCGCACACGTAAGAACGCCAATTCTTGAGCTACATTGGTGGGCGATGCGGATGGGGTCGGCCGTTTGGGGTGTCGATTGATGCTGTTTAGAGTAACCGGTTTGCAGTAACGGTGGACAAACGGACAAATGTACTGACAGACAGACCAAAGTTTTTGCGTCTAAGGTTCCCAAGAAAGACTATCGTCTTTAAAAAGCCACCCGCGCAGGCGCCCAGCTCGTCACGGTGTGCCAGCGTACTTGTGCGTACTTGTGCATCTTCCACGCGTACTTGTGCATGTGCGCGGGTGCTTATCCGGCGGAGGGAAGAATCGCGTGCCTTCGACTTTGACCGGAACGATTGCATTCAGTTGCTGGGTGCACGAAGATCACTTCACTTGATGGACAGGCGCCGTTTGCGAAAAGAGTGTGATTTTTAAACACAGCAATGTAACAACTGAGGCACTTGTTCGTTCGCACTCATTACGTTTCGTGCCTCGTTTTTGTTTAAACGGTGCATTAAGTGTCCAGCGGTAAACGTTGTTGGTTTGCTATTGTACTGTGTATGTTATTTTCATGCGTCATTTGTGTGTTAGCAGCGTGCTGCACGTTGCGATCTGCTTGCCGTTCTAAGCACTACATTCCAGACTGTCGCATTCATTGCTTCGCACCCTAGCGAGGAAACTGTGACTTTTCGTAATTTCGGACAACCGTATCCTCACCATTGAGTTGACGTCAGATTAAGCGCTGATGAAAACTCTCTGAGACCACGGTGATGATGGATCTTCGGAGCTCGCAGGTGGGAGCTCTCACAATTAGCCGATTAGTTCTGGCGACACGGCGGCGCATTCAATGCAATGCAATGACCGCGATAGCAAGAAATTGTAATGTTATAAGAACTAAGGCTGGCACCCAACTCTTTTGAATCCAATACCGCGAAACTCCTACAAAAAAAAAAAAAAAAAAAAAACCAGCTGGTGTGAGCATACGGCTACTCCAGTGTTTTCTTCTTACAGTCTCTTCGCTTTGAAACCGCACTGATACTCGCCGAGATAGCAAGCGTGCCAGCGATCGTGACGACTGCCCTTAAAATTTAAGTTCATTATTGATACTCAAGCGATCCCCGCCCCCTCCCCACGTTGTTTCATGCTCGTTCAAGATGGGTGGTGTATTTTCTTTTTGAGGATTCGACGGCAGTTCCAACAACACGCGGGATATGTTACGCACTCTTCAGGTGATAGGGATGGGCCAACTAATTTGATCTCTGCATCAGCAGCGCTCGCACTCACCCGCCCGTGAAAGTTACGATGCGCGGGGGCATATATATTATCTATTTGGACTTGTTACGGAACATGGCAGGGACGGCGAAAACCCGTTGCGAGTGTCCATGTAATTGGTATCGCAACAATAATGCACCATTTTACTGTAAAATAAGTCTTCTGGGTTAGCTCTGCCTTCAGTGCTCCTTTTGTTTAACTTGCGCATTTATTTTCCAAATTTTCGTACCAAACCTGCATACAACGAAATCCTCCTTATAACAAATTTTTACGGGAATTTATCAATTTTGTTATGTCCAGGTGCAACTGTATATCGAACCCACATATATCGAACTTTAAAGGCATCGAAGATCCCCAACGATGTTGTAGCGCTGCTTCAATCAGTGAAGCTACTCGCTGTTGTGGGCGAAGTTGTTTCACCAAGTGCAGCGGCAGACCTTTGGCTTTGGCGATGAGCATCGGGTCATCCACCAGAGTGTTCTTCGGGCGCACTTCTAAAAAATCGAGCATAGAGTGCCTTTACTACATTCCCGTGGGCACACTCTTTTTAAACGGCGCCTGTCCAGCGAGCGAAGTGATCTTTGTGTACCCGGCAACTGAACGCACCCGCGCACACGCGCAGGCGCCCGCATACACGCGTCTAACCCTCCCTTCCCCATTTGAGGGGCAAAGTACACATGGGAGATAAGCGCGCGTTCGCGCACCGTGACGAGCTGGACGCCTGCACGGGTGGCTTTTTTCCCTTGAGTTTTCATATACATAGATATGTATATATATACGATGAATGATGGTGGGGGCTGCGGCAAAAAACCAGCCGAGACTGTCCATATACATATTTGCTATTACAATAAAAAAAAAGAAAGCAAAGCTGAACGTTGTCGACGGCCACACCATGTGCGGGCAGTGAAAGTATGCACGCGCGCTAGGCGTAAAAAACGAAGAGCGAACGACACAGATACCACGAAAAACTATTCGATAACGCGCCCTCCATATACAGCCCGGCCCCACATATGTCATGATCAGCCTGACTACGTCCACTGCAGGACAAGGGCCTCTCCCATGTTCTGCCAGTTAACTCGGTCCTGTGCTTGCTGCTGCCAATTTATAGCCGCGAACTTCTTAAACTCATCTGCCCACCTAACCTTCTGTCTTCCCCTAACCCGCTTGCCTACTCTGGCAATCCAGTTAGTTACCCTTAATGACCAGCGGTTATTCTGTCTACGCGCTACATGCCCGGCCCATGTCTATTTCCTCTTCTTGATTTTAACTATGATACCCTTAACCCCCGTTTTTTCCTTAATCCACTCTGCTCTCTTTTCGTTCCATAAGGTTACACCTACCATTTTTCTTTCCATTGCTCGCTGCATCAGCCTCAATTTAAGCTGAACCCTCTTTGTAAGTCTCAAGATTTCTGCTCCATAGCTAAGTACCGGCAAGACGCAGCTATTATATACCTTCCTCTTGAGGGATAGTGGCAATCTACCAGTCATGATTTGAGAGTGCTTCCTAAATGCGCTCCATCCCATTCTTATTCTTCTAGTTACTTCAATCTCGAATCTCGTGGTTTGGCTCTGCGGTTATTACCTGCCCTAAGTAGACATCTTTTACAACTTGAAGTGTGCTGTTACCTATTTCGAAGCGCTGCTCTCTTCCAAGGTTGTTGTACATTACTTTCGTTTTCTGCAGCTTGTTTTTAAGACCCACCTTTCTGCTCTCCTTGTCTAACTCCGTATTTTGAGTTGCAATTCGTCCCCTGAGTTACTCAGCAATGCAATGACATCGGCGAAACGCAGGTTACTAAGATACTCTCCATTAACTCTCATCCCTAACTGTTCCCATTCTATCCACATATGTGATGCTACCTAAGAGTATGGCACTGCCAACGCCCAAAAGTATTTTTTGGGGGGAAAGTGGGTGGGGAGGGGGGGGTGGAGTGGAGGCCTGTCTGCCCGCCTCACGCCGGTGCAATGTCATCGGCGAAGCGCAAGTTACTAAGGTACTCTTCATTAACTCTTATCCCTAACTGTTACCATTTTAGGCCTCTGAAAACCTCCTGTAAGCACACGGTAAATAGCAATGGGGAGATTTTATCCCCCTGCCTTACACTTTTCTTGATTGGTATTCTGTTGCTTTCTTTATGAAGCAATATGGTAGCAGTTATCTCCTGTAGATTTCTTCCAGGATGTTTATATATACTTCATGGATGCCCT